CACCACAACGCCCGGCTATTTTTTGGTTGCAGCTGTCATTGTTGTTTGGTGGGCCCGGGCTGGATTCAAACCCGCCAGCTCAGGTGTATGTGGCTAGCGCCTTAGCCACTTGAGCCCCAGGCGCCGAGCCTAGTTTTTCTATTTTTGGTAGAGCCAGGGTCTCACTCTTACTCGGGCTGGTCTCGAACTCCTGAGCTCAAGCAATCCACCCACCTCGATCCGAAATGCTAGGATTACAGGCGTGATCCATGGTATCTGGCAAGTGTGAGGAATTTGACAAAGGCGGGAAGGCTGGCTAGGAACTGTCGCTGTTTTTTCTAAACATCGTTAGGTTGTCAGAGCCATGTTGTGCCCGGAGCTGGTTCACACCGACTATGCTTAATCTCTTCCACACCCCCTCTCCTGTGACTTTCCTTGCTGGTTTTAAATTCGTTATAGGACGAGTATTTACACTCTGAGCATTAGCAAACATGACAAATCAATTTTTTTCTCCCAAGGGTTGATTGTTAAACATTTTCCAGCACACCCCGGGTTGGAGGCCATTAAGAGGATCATGTCCAGACCTAAGGCAGACACAAGAGCTGTGACAAGTAGTCAGTGGTCAGGAGGTTTGAGAATATCAGAGGGCAAGATCTATGGGCTATTATTAAAAACACCCTGCAGTAAGCAGCATGAGAAGCCAGCTCCACTGTCAGAAGCTATAAGCACTTTGGGCAGGAACCAAGTAATTATAATCTGTTTTGCTTTCTGCTCTCCAGGGCGTCACAAGCGTGGCAGCAGACACAATTCCTTTCATTGGACAGGGGGAAACCCTCACCCTTTGCAGATGTTACCAGAGTTAAGAATCAGAATCTGCAGAGATGATTAGGGGCTACTACGGGTGGACCAGACATTCAGAAACCCCTTCATAGTTCAGAGACTAGGAACCACCTATAATTTTAGAAATCAAGATTAGAAAGTCCTCATCACTGGGCTTGGGGATGGAGGCTACAGGATCCAGGAGGTGTCCTTGGGTGCCCTGCAGTCCACATCATGGCACATCCCGTGTTCTCTCTCGCTCCAGCTCATCGAGGGCGCCTCCGCAGAACAGAAGCACAGCCTAGGAATCACTAGCATGGACTATTATTACTACCTGAGCCTCTCGGGGTCATACAAGGTTGATGACATCGACGACAGGCGGGAGTTTCAGGAAACTCTGGTAAGTGCCAGCACTGCTTTCCAAAGTGGGCATTGCCTGGGGCAGAAAGGGCAGTGAAGGCTTACAGAGCCAAGAGCAGCCCGAAATATCCACTTCGTCCTGCTCTGAGTGCTCCATGTCCTAACACCTATGTTTCAGGACCCTTCAATAGTCATGTGCCCGGCTGTCTAAGGACCATTTAATGATGTGACATAGGTAAAAAAGTGAATTCCTCATTATTCCCACTGCGGGAGCTCTGATGAAACTATTGTGGGAATACATTCGGCACCTTCTTGCCAGTGGCCTGCCCAGTCAGTGAGCTCCGCTTCCTTAGAAAGGCTGGGCAAGTCTGTTTGTGGACTTATTCAGGTTTCACTTTGGGGATGCTTTTAGTTTTTTTCCTACCCTTTTCACTTCTGCTTCAAGGACTTTCTCTTCACCTCTGTATTGTGTCGCTCAGATGATTTTTCTACTCCCTACCCTTCACATTGTGTGTGTGTGCTAGGGTACGAGTTGTAAAACTCCATAGATTAAGGGATTGCATCCTGGGGGAAACAACTTGAAGGATTCAAGCTAGAACTTTCTGGAGGTAGGCGAGTCACCCATTTAGCCTCCAAGGGCTGCATTACCACTGTCCTGTGAGCCAGCTGCAAGGCAGGACCATTCCTCAGCCCAGAACCAGAACAGAGAGTGGCAGACCCTGAGTGAGCGATGGAGGGTCA